AGAGAGTAGTGCGGGACGAGGAAGGGGGACAGATGGCTGAGAAGATGGGGGCGCTAGAGATCTTGTTGAATCTGCTTGACGTGCACCCAGAGTTTGGAAGTGGCGCGCCGCTCATGCAGTCGGTCAAGCAGGGACGGTGGGCAGTAGTGTTGAGGTCGGAAGCAACGACAGTGCTGAGAGACATGGCGAGAAGAGTAGGAGAAGACCCAACGCACTTCACGCTGCATTCAGGGAGGATAGGTGGTGCGACGCAACTAGCAAAGCAGGGCGCATCGGTTGTTCAGATTCAGAGGGCGGGGAGGTGGAAGTCAGGAGCCTTTATGACGTACGTGAGGGCAGGAGGCGAAGGCGCTAATTATGTATCGCGTGCACTAGCGTCTAGCTGAAGGGGAGAAGTAGCGTGGACAAGAACGCCGAGTATCGGGCCGCGCAATGGGATATGACCTGGGCATAGACGTCGGGTTGGCCCGATAAGTGATACCTATAATAGTGAGTCCGAGAAGAAGTCAATGGTTCGGCTCATAGGTTGGATTTTGGTTTTTATATTTTTTGGTTTCGGCGTTTCTGATTTCTTGTCGCCTTTTTCTAATAATCCAAATTTCTTGAGCAAAACACAAACCCCGGAGACCCGCTTGTTCTAGAAATATTTCGGAAGCATGCTAGGTCAAGGTCGACCGGGAAATCTACGTAGAACGTGTGTAGCTTCTGGAAACCTTCTGGAAATTTCTGGAAGCTTCTGGAAGATTCTGGGAGCGTTCTAGACCTAGGTTGCACTTGATACTTTGCTAGAACGCAGGAGGGCTTCCAGAATCATTCTGAAAGCATTCTAGATCTTTCGTGTGATTGGCTTATTTGTCCGGTATTCGAGGAGAGTGGTGCAGCCCTAAGCTCGCCCCCCCCTCTCACTCCCCGATGTTTGCCATCGGGGTTGAGTTTTCGTCGCTTGGCAACGACGTTGTAAAACAAGCCGACCCCCCCGGTGTTTTGCCATCGGGGTTGGGTTTTCGTCGCTTGGCAACGACGTTGTAAAA